CTGGCGATGCAAGTTCTCCCAACCCTGTGAACGCTTCCATGGAAATGGCCGGCCACGAGGAGCACGTCCAAGAGCATGTCTATAGCGTCTGTGTTGCGACTTCCACCTCGCTGTAAGGATGCTAGTCTGGGTAGGTGGCGAAAAAACGGTGTATGATCGCAAACTTACGTTCAACTACGTCGGGGCGGCGCGGACCGATGATGTGACCATGAAAATCAAAATCTCCAGGGGAAACGTTTGACCGAAACTGGTACCGGGACTTAGCGTTTTCAGGCATAACGCTTCAGAGCCACAAGCCGGTGCTCCGCAAAGCGAGCCCATGCAGCGCTGGCGATTGCAATGGGGCCTCAAGGGTTACGCCAGATATTGCTCGCTTGCCCCACTTGCCATACATGGTGCAACCTCCTATTGCCCCGCTTGCCCCACTCAAGTTCACATAGCACGATCCTATCCCCAGATCGCGGGAAGCTTTAAGGACGTTCCACACCTGAGCATGAACAAAAAGCAGGATGCTGGTTATTAGTAGGTTTACGTCACAAGAGCGCCGAATAAACGCCGACTGGCAAAAATGGCCTTATCAGACTGATGCGCTGGTGGTCCCAATTCAAATCCACACACAGCAAACCAACAAGATGTCAGAGGAAAGCCGCAATAGAACACAGTGAAAACTATTGCGCAAGTTTTCACGCAGACGTCTAGTATCCAAGACAGGAGTATAGCACTGCATGCTTGAAAGGTGATGTACAAACTCTTGCGGCTTCCATGCCATACATGCGTGGACCTTGCGCGGCAGTACAAATTGTGAGCGATTTCCACGCCAACGCAAGACCTGGGATTAACATCAAGAATTTGGCAAACATGTGTAAGGATTAGCGCGGAACGAGCAGAAGAGAGCTTCAGTGCCAGAATGTTCCGACTGCCGTTCAAGCCATGCAGATCAATACAACGGACATGATCGAGAATATTCCAATCAATCATTCTCTGTACTGGGATGGCAATACTGGCAAAGAAATAGAACACGAATATGCGAATACATAAACACGGAAATTATCGACCTGTGCCGCAGGTAGGAAGAACTCGCTCTGGAATAACAGGTCCAGGATCTTTCTAAGAATTGTGACCTCAAATCCATGTAAACCCCAGAGGGAAGCTAAACAGCAACAAAGCTGCGGAGGTAGATGTTGCAGACACGTGCGTGTTCAACATACAGATTCGAAGCGCCGATTCTTTTCTTGGGGACAAATGCCGTCTCACTGGAAAGGCCACGCTTTCAACATGTGCTGCTCGGGCCCGCACTCCGGAGAAACATCGCGACATCTGAGCCAAAACGGCTGCGGAAACATGGACACGACGCGGGCAGAATGCAGAACTGAAACCGTCGTAACGCCGGTTCGCGCGGCACCTGAAGCCAGAACACGTCGTGCCTCCGGCTCTCCCGGGCGATTCCTCTTCGATTCGTGCCCCCGTGCGCTGGTTCGAGGAGCCTTGGACACGTGGGCACCCCGCGGACGGAAAAAGACAGTGCCCGCCCCGTCGTCTTGCCGCGCGGCGGCGAGAACCTGGGGCTCCCAACTCCGCGCTTCGCGCTCCGCGAGGCACGAAGCGCGAATGACTTCGCGCTCTCGCGCCGCCCCCCCAAAGGGAGGACGAGGAGGACGAGGAAGAGGGGGAGAAGGAGCGAGGACCGCGGAGCGCGGAGCGCTTATAACTTCGCGCCCCCGTGGGAGCCCTGGGAGAACGCACCCGCACCACCGCCGCGCAGAGACGAGCCTCCGGCGGGGCGCGCCGGCACCGAGATCGATGAAGGGGCCCTGGGACACACAAACAAACACACACAAATGAAAAGGTTCCCCATAGTTTCCCATATTTCCTGGATTCTGTCTTCCCGCCCAATTCCCATATTTTTCCATGTTTTCTGGGGAATCGACGCTTACTCCAGATTTCGTAATAAAAGGGAGGGGGCCTCAACCCCCCCAGACGAGAAGTTTTAGACCCCCCCCGTGGGAGAGCCCTCCAAAACATCGTCCCCAGACCCCCCCGAGGCCCTCCAAGATAGCCTGGAAGAGACCCCCCCCGAAACCCCGAAATGAGACCCCCCCTCTCTTGATTACGAAATCTGGAGTAATTTAGGAAGGCACCAACTATACACCAACACCGATCCTGGCCCAGGATCACCCTGGGCCCAGGATCGGTGTATACGCCCTCCTGCCTTGCGCAAGAAGGCATATACACCGATCCTGGGCCCAGGGTGATCCTGGGCCAGGATCGGTGTTGGTGTATAGTTGGTGCCCTCCTATAATTGTGTCTGTGTGTTTTGTCCCCTCCGAATCGCGCGCGCACGCCGCGGCGGCGGGCCCCGACCGCGCTGCCCGCCGCCGGCGGGGGGGCGCAGAGCGGGGCCGCCCCGGGCGGCCGCGGCGGGCAGGGGGCGCAGGAGGAGGGAGGGGAGGAGGAGGAGGAGGAGGAGGAGGAGGAGGAGGAGGAGGAGGAGGAGGAGGAGGAGAGGAGGAGGAGGAGGAGGAGGAGGGGAGGAGGAGGGGAGGGAGGAGGAGGAGGGGAGGAGGAAGGGGGAGGAGGAGGAGGAGGAGGGGGAGGGAAGGAGGAGGAGGGGGAGGAGGAGGAGGAGGAGAGGAGGAGGAGCAGGAGGACGGCCCCGGCCAGACGAGCCGCCGCACGGGCTGCCACCACGCGCCACGCCTGCGCGCAGCAGACAAGGCGGAAACACGTCGACAATTTGCAACTGACGACCTGCCAGCCCACCCCAACCCAACCGGAAGGCCCCAATTTCGGGTTGGGGGGGGGCACGGGTTCCATATATATATATATATATGTATATATATATATATATATATGTTTCATTGTTCCCCGACCCCCCCCACCCGAAGTGGAGGGCAAGTTGAGGCCTTCGGATCGGGTTGGGGTGGCCTGGTGGGCGGTGAACGTCCAGGTCGCTCCTCGAAGACGCTTCCCGGCATCCGCCACCGTGGTGCCTGGGGCGCCCCGCGGCCCTTGGCCAGAGAAGGTCGAACCTGACCCGCAGAAGCGGCCCACGCCCGAGGCGCTTCCGAGCGTCCGCCACCGTGATCCCTGGCATGCGGAAGCGTGGCAGGATGCCAGGCCTCGCGTGGCACGGTACCGTCGGGGCGTTGACCTCAGGAACCCTAAATAAGGAACGGGGCCCCTTTCTCCCATAAGTTGAACTTCGATTTCCCATGGAAAAGGAAAACAGAAGGCAAACTGTCGAACAATCAAGGAACACCGAGCCCCTCCCCAACGAAAAGGGTTCCTTCTTCAGGGCCCCAGCTGTATCAGCCAGCTTCTAAGGCCCCCCCCCCCACGCACACGCGCATGCACCGCCCCCCCCATCGATGGGCTCCCTGGGCGCCCCGACGCCTCTCTGGCGCTCTCCGGGGCTCCGCGGGCCCACAGAGCCACCAAGAGATGGTGCAAGAGGCCTCCGACAGGGCTGAACCTCAACGGTGCCTTTCGCTGTCGTTTTGCTTTCGTGTTCCCTCGCTTTTGCAGGGGACCTCAGAATCGAATCGACAAGTCGGATCGGAAGTCGACATGAATCAGATCGGCGGAAATTGGCAGCCGAGTCGGGAAAAGCCGAATCGGCGGAAATCGGCAGGCTAGTGTGCGTCCAATAGGAAATCGGAACCCCAATCGGAATCCAAAGTCGAATCGAATCGGAATCGGAATCAAGCGAAATCGAATCGGATCGAATCGGAGGAATCGAAACGAGCCCTGCTTTTGTCTCGAATCCGCCTTTACCGCAAAACAAGATCGAAACGAAAACGGCCCGCGAGAAATCACCAAAAACACCCTTCCGGTCCAGCCCCGGCCTCCGAGACGGCCGCAAGTGGCCCCAAGGCGGCCCAAGATGGCCCCACGGCCGCTCGAAAAGCCACCAACACTGCTCGCGGAGGGCCCCTGGACGACCAGTAGGACCCGAACAGACTAGGACCGGTAACTTACCCTACAGTGGAGACCCATGCCAAGAAACACCCTGCCTGCCTCCAGGGTCTCCTGGGTTTCTTGGGTTTCGATGCTTTTGCTATGGAAAGCGTGACGTTCCCACACCAAAAATCAAGGGACGCCCTGCGGTCTCAGGGTTGGATTTCTAGTGCAAGGTTTCTTGTGGAGGGGCCACTACTGTATGTCTTGTGTCACTTCTGCGGGCTCGCACTTCTGTCAGTCCAAGACGACCCCAGAGGCCTCCGATGTTGCCCCAAGACGGCCCCCAAGGAGACTGCAAGACGGGCCGAAAGCTACCAAGATGGCCGAAGAGGCCTCCAGCTGAGACGATTTTGAAAACCGTCCCAAAAGGCCGCCCCCGAGGCCTCCAAGCGGTCCCCAGGAAGATCCGCAGCAGAAGTGGAGGAAGGGGAGAACTAATCAGCAACAGCTAAACGCGGGCAGCACGACGGGAAGCTGTCAACAACACATACGACATCGGAAGCCGCTCATCTCCTCTTCTGGGGCTCGGCGGATTGGCTAAAGCCTCCTGAGTGGCATCGTACTTAGCTGCTCTGGAAGATAGAGGGCGGACAGGGTGGAGGGGGATGCAGAGGAGGAGAAGGGCAACCAGGACCTTTCCCCAGGACCCACAGAAAGCAACGCGGCGCGAAATCTGCATCGGAGGAGGAAGGAAAGGAAGGAAAAGATAGGCAGCGGAGAAAGGAAAGGAAGGAAAGGATAGGCACGGCGTGGAGGAGGCGGAGGAGACGGAGGAACAAGACAGGGGAGGAGGCGAGGAGTAGCAGCAGCAGGGAGGTTCCCTAGCAGGTTGAGGAGCGGAGGAGGAATCATAGAAGGATGAAGAACATCAGCTATAGCATGAGAAGCTGGATGAGGTAAAGAGAAACGACAGCGAGCACAGCAAAAAGGAGGGAGCAAAATGGCAATGAAGAAAGGGGGAGAAAGTGCAGCAGCGGCATGCGCAGCACGAAAGGAAGGCAGGCTTGCAGACGCCATGCGGGCAAAGAGACGGGCGGGTCCTTGAACCGAGGCTCGAGCGACGTGTGCCGCTCATTGATTCGGTCCTGTGGAATGTGCTTCGTCACAGTCGTCACAATTCTCTTCCTCCGCTTCCTCCTCGTCCTTCCCAACCTTCTCCCCATCATCAGTGAACCGCCCTCTCATTCCCGAGAGGGGTCACAATTGGTTTGAGGCTCCACAGCTACAAGGAAGGCCGTCCGGTGGGCGGCCACAGTCTCGGAGTCCTTCCAGCATCGCATGGCCTGGAGAAGTGCCTGGATGGCGCCACATCGAGGATCTAGACCTTCAGGACAGCCTGAACGGCGGCCGCATCATCAGCTGAAATCACAGAGCTGAGTGTCAAGCGGGTCGGCTGAGTGCTCCAGCCAGGCTACTGGGTTTAGAATCGACAAGCAGCGCCTGCCCCCCAACGAATGAGGAGGCCAAGCCAGCCTCCGACAGTCAAGCCGTCGCCGCTCGATCGCCTCAGGCAGGCTGATGCATACCTTTGTTCTGGAAGAAGGTGCTGGCACCGTTCCTGTGTCAGGTTTCCAAGGCCCGTGGATGGACAAGTCCACATCGACGGAGTCCAGGGTCTCTCGCCTCAAGAGCTCACTGTCAACTGGGGCGCCTCTACAAGCATGGCCTCGCAGAGACCGCCAGACCCAAGTGGGTCACTGTGGCACAGGAGTTACTGCTGGACTGCACATGATGTTCTCTGGCGTGAACGTGTCTTCGGGTCAATGCGTGGAGCTTCAATGCGGGTGAGCATTTCGCCAGAGGCGTGTTCCCCAACCCCGCCGAGCTGTTTGAGTCCCCGCGGAACCCGAGCAAACCATCCACTGGCGCCAGAGACCTGAATTATGGCGTCTGTCTAAATGTCCGCACCTAGCTTGCACGGGATTGACCATAGTCCAGGTGGACAGTTTTCTTGAGGCGCGGCGGACCCTTTTCAACAAAAGGGCGTGACTCATTCCTGCGCTTGGAACTACGAGACGCTACCTAACGGACGAGACTGCAATAATCATTTCATCATCTACACAATCACGCAGAGTCTCCACGATGTATACATACTCATCCCTATATATATATATATACTCTCAGAGCACTCATGCAGAGTGGGCAGGGCGGGCGAAAGCCAAAGCTCGCTTCGGTCACATTCTCCTCAGCCACTCGGTGAGGCGCAGCGTGCTCTATGAAGAAAAATGGGGACCAGCAACTGAACGTGAGCAAAAGCTAACAAAAAAACGAAGGTACGCACCTTCAAAGGAGCGTGGGACCACAACGGGGTGCACGAGCAACACAAAACTGAGAGCGCATTACTGGGACAAAGTTTAGGCCGGCCACCACAGGTCGGATTCCCATGCGTTTGCTCATCTCGAAAACAATAACCCGAGCGGAAGTCAATGCAGGCAAGACTTGCGAGTGGGAAGCCTGGCTGATCACTGAACAGGGCGCGGCCCCGAACGGCGTGGGCCAGAGTCGTTCCCAAGCTCTGAAAAGCTTTTTCTTACATCGGGCAGAGACGACTCAAGATCTCATTCGCCAGCAGCGGGCGAAGGAAGGCCTCGGAGCTGCAGCGGGCCCGGACGGCGCCTCGGGCGCCTCGGCCGCCCCAGGGAGCGCCACGCTGCTGCGAGAGCGCTCCGGAGCTCGCTGCAGCGATTTGCCCTCCTCCTCCTCCCGCGCGAGGCCGCGTCGTGGGCTGCGCAGGTCATCCGTTCGTCGGCCAGGAGCACGAAGACGTCATGGCTCGAATGGTGGTGGCCTCGTCAGGAACCCCTCGAGGCCGCTGGGGTCGCCGAAGACCGCCCCAGGTGATCTGGCGATGGGGACGTAGGAGGCGTCGGGTACGGTGGGGGGGGAAGAGTACTCCAGATTTCGTAATAAAGGGAGGGGGGTCTCATTTCGGGGGGGGTCTTTTCCAAGCAATCTTCGAGGGCCTGGGGGGGTCTGGGGACGATGTTTTGGAGGGTTCTCCCACGGGGGAGGTCTGAAATGGCTTGTCTTGGAGGGTCCAGACCCCCTCCCTTTTATTACGAAATCTGGAGTACACACGCTTCTCTTGCAGGTGGCACGGTCGTTTGCAGGCAGATGCTGCTGGATATAATCCGAAGGTTGGGTACGTACCTGCTGTTCTGCTGTACGTGTAGCGCGATGAGATCGGATGTGTGCCCACGCAGGGGTTGCAAGACGGACAGACCCGGCAAATGCTCGCAAGAGGCATCCTCATGTCCCTCCTCCTCCTCCTCCTCCTCCTCCTCCTCCTCCTCCTCCTCCTCCTCCTCCTCGTCCTCCTCCTCCTCCTCCTCCTCCTCCTCCTCCTCCTCCTCTCCTCCTCCCTCCTCCTCCTCCTCTTCCTGCCCCTCCGCCTCCTCAGCCATTCTCTCGAAGGTACCCAGCAGTGGGGGTCATGCTGAACCGCCGATTTGAGGGGGCAAACATGGAAACGGCGTGGAGACAAGCCGCTCTGGACGCTAATGCCGGGCGCTGGCATCTGGGCTAGCACTGCCGCGGCACCTGCTGCTTCCTCTGTGGCGTTGCGCTCCCTCGAGAGACAGCCGCGGCCTTTCCTCGCGCAACAAGCGGCCAGCAGGGGGAGCCCTGCTCAAGAGCAAGGACGACGCAGAAAAACGTCACCTGCGACCAGCTCGTGACGTATGGGCATGGGCGCATGAAGCCGCTGAAGAAGAGACTGGGAAATGGATCCCGTCTTTGCGAGGCTATGGTAGAGCACCCTTCACACGCCGCCCTGCCAGGTTACAGATGACCAGGAGGCGGTAGAAGAACAGCCAATGAGGTTCAGCAGTGCAAAGATCTCAGGTCATCTACGCCTGGGCTGGCGGCTGCAACGGTGACTACGTACAGGACCACCCCAATCTAACCCGAGGACCCGACCGAATTTCGCGTTCAGGGGAAGTGTTCCACATGTGTTTTTTCCCCAACCATCCTGTGGTTTGGGGTTTTCGTTTTGAAGAGACGGTCCCCGCGCTCCTCTGTCCCAGGGACGCAGATAAGAGCGAGGATCACTATGCGGGCCCGCCTGCCGGTCTCCAGGAGGGGGAGGGACCGACGCGCCGCGGCAAACGACCGCCTGATCAGTCTCGAGCTCTCCCAGAGGACTCTTGCAGCTGAAGGCCGCACTTTCGGCTCCGTGTCTGAATTGGGAGGAACGCCTCCGAGCGCGGGCGCGCCCTCTGCAGCACCCCCAGTTATCGCCACGATACTGTCTCCAGGAGGGAGCGCGCTTTCGACGGCATTCCTGCGTTCCTCGGCGAACCTGCCCCAGGGACGCTGATAGGACCGAGGAGCACCATGGGGGTCCGCCTGCCGGTCTCCAAGAGGGGGAGGGACCGACGCGCTGCGGCAAACGACCACCTGATCAGTCTCCAGCTCCCCCATAGGACCTTCGCAGCTGAAGGCCGCACTTCGGATGCGAACTCCTGACTGTCAGAATTGCGAGGAACGTCTCCGAGCGCGGGCGCGCCCTCTGCAGCACCCCCAATTGTCGCCACGGCACTGTCTCCAGCAGGGGGCGCGCTTCGGGTCGCATATCCCGTCTCCACAACGACAGTGCCCCAGGGGCGCTGATAGGAGTGAGGAGCACTATTGCGGTCAGCCTGCCTGCCTCCAGGAGAGGGAAGAACCGGCGCGCTGCGGCTGCTCTGGGCACGGGGCGGGCCACCGGGCTGGCCGTCAGGCGGGCCCTAGGGCCGGCAGCCGGCCAGGTCGTGCAGCTGGCGGGCTGGCCGCGGGGCCGGTCGCCAGGCTGGCGCTGGGGCCGTCGGACTGCCCGTGGGGCTGGCACTCGGGCTGGCCGTAGGGCTGGCAGTCGGGCGGGCCGTCGGGCTGGCTGTGGGGCTGGCAAGTCGGGTTGGCCGTGAGGCTGGGCTGGCAGTCGGGCTGGCCTCGGAGCTGGCCGTCGGGCTGGCCGTCCGGTTGGCCGCGGGGCTGGCCGGGCTGGCCGCGGGACTGGCCGTGGGACTGGCCGTGGGACTGGCCGAGGGGCTGGCACTCGTGCTGGTCGTGGGGCTGGCAGTCGGGCTGGCCGTCGGGCTGGTCGTAGGGCTGGCGGTCGGGTTGACCAGGGGGCTGTCCGCGGGGCTGGCAGCCGGGCAGGCCGTGGGGCTGGCCGCGGGGCGGGCCGCGGGGCTGGCAACCGGGCTGGCCACGGGGCTGGCCGTCGGGCTGGCCGTCCGGCTGGCCGCGCGGCTGGCCGGGCTGGCCGTGGGACTGGCCGTGGGGCTTGCAGGCCGGCGGGCCGTCGGGCTGGCCGCGGGGCGGGCTCTTAGGGCCTGGCAGTCGGGCTGGCCAGGGGGCGGGCCGCCAGGCTGGCCGAAGGGCGGGGCGAAGGGCGGGCTGAGGGGCGGGCCGCGAGCCGCAGCGGCGGCGCCCGCCACCGCACCGCCGCCGCCAGCGAGGAGCCAGCAGCGGCGGCGGCAGCGGCAGCAGCAGCGGCCGCCCCGAAAGCGGCCGAACCGCCAGCGACGGCGCCGCCGCCAGACGCCGCCGCCGCCGCCGCCGGAGGGGAGCCCGCGGCGGCGGCAGCAGCGGCGGCGGCGGCGGCGGCAGCAGCGGCGACAACCGCGGCGCCGGCCGCCGGCGGGGAGCCGGCAGCGGCGGCGGCAGCGGCAGCAGCAGCGGCCGCCGCGAAGACAGCCGCGACGCCAGCCGCGGGGGCGGCCACGGCGGCGCCGGCCACCGCGCCCTCCGCCGCCGCCGCCGCCAGCGAGGAGCCAGCAGCGGCGGCGGCAGCGGCAGCGGCGGGGGAAGCGGCCAGCGCGGCGCCAGCCGCGCCCGCGGCGCTCTTGGCGCCGGCGGCGCAGGCGGCGCCCGCGGGCGAGCAGGAGCGGCGCAAGGCTCGATCCATGCCAGGCGGGCTCCGCGGGCGGCGGAAGCCGGTCGCGGCGCCACGCCGCCGCCGCCGCGCGCAAGCCAGGCCCTCCGGGGGAGGCGAACGAGCAGCGCAGCCAGGTCCGACCGCCGCCGCGCGCTCGCCAGCCTCCAGGGGGGAGGCGGCGGCGGCGGCGGCGGCAGCAGCGGCAGCGGCCGCCGGGGGCGGGCCCAGGCCAGGCGGCCCGCCGCGGGCGGCGGCAGCCAGGCCCCCCGGCGCCACCGCCGCCCACCGCCGCGCGCACGCCAGCCCCCAGAGGGAGGCGGCGGCGGCGGCAGCAGAAGTAGCAGGGGGCAGCCGAGGCCAAGCGGCCGGCCGCGGGCAGCAGCAGCAGCAGCAGTGCGGCGCAAGCGCAGAGGCCAACGCGGCAGGCCGGGCGCGGCGCGAACCTGGACAAGAGGCGAGCTCGAGCCGAGACGGCTTGAGCCACAAGGCAACGGACGCTGGCGGGGGTACTTTTTTTTTACGGCCGCGGGCGAACGCGCCAGCGGCGGGCGAAGAAGGTCGGGCCGCGACCGGCTTAAATTACCGACGGCTAACGCGCGCGACTAGGCGGCCGCGGCGGCGCCGGATGCAGCAAGCAGCAACTGCGGCGAGGGCGGGGCTGACCCCAGGGAGAGCTGAACCCAGGGCAGAGCTGCAAGGTGACCCAGGGAAACACAGGAAGCACCAAATTAGCCAAACCTGACACGCGCTGCCAAAATGGCGCGAATCTGCAGAGGCGCCAGCCGAAGCGTCGCACACCGACAGATCAAGTAATGACCGCTCAAAGGTAGGTAAACCTGCGTCCCATGAGCAATCATGTGCACCGTGGTCCATGCATAGCAAGACCTGTGAATACATAGCAATGCAACCGAGCAGGATGGACCACACCCAATGCCAAAGATGTACCCAGGGTGCTCGTGCGCAGCCAATGGCGAGTGACACCGGGGCAATGAAGGCGGCGCCAGCGGATGCGACGCACGACCAACAGTCATCCGAAGTGCGCCACCTGTGACACCAGTGGACCTGTGGGCAACGCCAGGAGCCAAGTAGGATAGACCACACCCGACCCTGTCGCGACCGCACAGAACCTAAGCTGCATAAGGCTGCCCGCTGGAAGGCCGGGCCACGGCCACACCCAGAAGAAGCCAGAGTGAATTAGGGTGAAACAAGGGCGGGCGCGCCCGCGGCTTTGGGTGACGACCTTCCACTGTTTCTGGTCCTTCCTGGGTGCGCGGCGATCAGCGTGGCCCTTCGCCGCCTGGCGCCCCCTGCCCGCGCCGCCACTTCCACCCAGGTACCGAAGCCGCAACTGCGCCCAGTCAACGCCGAGGTCCAGCGCGTCGTCCATGGCCCGCACGTCGCAGTTATGGCTGCGGAAGGAGGACAGGAAATTGACGCACGTTTGCTGGTCGTGCCGCCGCGGGTCGAGCGCGCCTTTGCTGCCAGGCATGGCGCGCTGCTGGGCGAACGCGTGCCAGGCGCCTGTGAACCTCGCTCCCAGGGTGACCTGAAGCCGCTTTATCGTCTCGCCAGGTGTCTCCCCGGGGGGGTCCCACTGGATGCCGCCGATCTTAGCTTTATATAGCTGCTGTCCCGTGTCTGGGTCTGAAGGTTCTGGGCAGTGACGCGCGGCGGGGCCCGCTACCAGGGGCGGGGTGGTCAGCGGCTGGTCCTCGGCGCGGCGCCTGCTGCTGCTTCTGCGGCTGCTGCTGCTGCGTCCGCCGCCTGCCGTCTGCCGCCCACCAGACCCGCCAGCGCGGTCGGCGTCGCTACGGGCCAGGTTTCGGCCCAGGGGCGGCGGGGAGACTGGAAGGTCGCCAGTCACAGAGGCTAGGCAGGGCGTCCACCTGCTGCCACGAAGACGCGCTGGGGGAACGTTCCGGCCGCGCTGCCGTTGTTCCTCGGCGCTCGAGCTCGCGCCATTGCCAGGGAGGGAGGGGCCAGGGCAAGTAGTGTCAGCCAGGGGAGTGTGGCGGTGGGTGGTTGCCTGTTCCTGTTCTCGCCCATGCTCCCATTCCTGCGCTGGCGCCACTTCCGCGCCCTCCCCGTGGGCGGCCGGCAGCTCCTGCTCATCGGGCTCTTCCGGCTCCTGCCCCGCATGCTGGTCACGTTCGCTGCTCTGCGACTGTTCCGACTGGTAGGGCCCGCCGCCGGAATCGTCTATGGCTTCGCGAGGCGCGGCGGCTACTGGGGCACGGAAGCCTGGCCGGGACTTGCGGGTTGGCGCGGGCCGCACGGTTGGCCGCCAGGTAAAGGCCGAGTCGCCTCCAGCAGCTGGGGCGGAGAGGAACGCTGCACTGTGGTAAGCGGGTGCAGGCCCCTCCCGTTGGCGCTCGCCTTCAGACCCGCGCCCGCCCCCGTCCACGAGCGCGCCCCCATCTGTCGCAGCGTGACTGTCGCCATGTGTGGGAGTGCTGCGGGTCGTACCTGGCCCAGGCACGTTGTCAGACACCGTTTCTTTCGCCAGGACGGGAGTCGCCTTCCTCAGCGTGGCCCGGCCTTCGGGAGGGAGTGGCTGCGGTTCGCTGTCCGTTCGGGCGGATTCGCTGACAGGGGAACGAGGGCGAATGGGCGCGAAGGGACTTCTCTCGTCAAGCTGGCGGATGGCCTCGATGTCCTGCCTCTGCAAGGCATGTTCGTGGTTCCCCAGCGAGGGGTCTTCGAGAGTACCAGGGACGGCGGCGGGCGGAGTCGCAGCGGGGCGTTGTTGGGTCTCGCCGCCAACCAGATGTATCGACAGCCCCAGGCTTTGCAAGTAATGGGCTCCGTATCGGCCGTCGGCCACGGGGATGGCCTCGGAGGCGCTGGCCGGAGGGTCTGTGCCGATCGCAAACACGCGCCCGTCTGTGGCCCGCACGCACCTCCAGGAGTCAAGCGAAACCTCCAATCGTGAGCGCCCAGGGCCGCTGTCAGTCACACTTTCGCGCACTCCCACGACGGGAGAACTGTAACAACTGACGGCCGCGTTTGGATTTACGACCTGGTGGGGATACGCGAAGCGTCAACATTTTCGAAGGAAAGATAATAATGATGAAAGGGGATGAATGGGGAAAGGGGGAGGAGGGATAGGCGAAGAAGGAGGGATGAGGGAACAAGGATGGACGAGAGAAGAGAAACAGGGACATTCGTATTCAGACTCGGAAACAAAGTCGATTCCACCCTCACAACCCCACACACATACATACACATACCGATACGGACGCTGATCCCGCTCACAGGTCACTGAATTCGCGGTTGAAAGACAGTCCACATCTCTGTTGAGACCTCAGGCCTCATGCCACTTGAGATTGCTCTTTGCAGCAATCATGGCACGACCCGCTGCCTGAAAGCACCACCGTCAAACGGGATCAATGATCAAAGCGCATGTGTAGCGCAAACTTGAGGATGCTCAATCATGTCGGCGGCAGGGGTGGCGTTTAGGCGGATGTGGGCACACCTCAGACACCCCACATCAGTGCTCGATGTGCAGCAGTCATGGCACGACCCGCTGCCTGAAAGCACCACCGTCAAGCGGGATCAATGATCAAAGCGCATGTGCAGCGCAAGCTTGAGGATGCTCAATCACGTGCACGGCGGGGGTGGCGTATAGGCGGATGTGGGCACACCTAAAGACACCCCACACCGGTGCTCCGTCCATCTCTCTGTCTCTCTCTCCCTCTCTCTCTCTTTGGACGCCCGAGTTATCCGGGGTAACTCGGGTCCGGGGTAACTCGGGTTTGGATTCCCGAAAAAGGAACCCGAGTTAGCCCTGACCCGAGTTACCCCTGATGACTCGGAGCTCTGGACGCCCGAAATACCCGGGGTAACTCGGGTCCGGGATAACTCGGGCTCGGAATCCCGAAAACGCACCCGAGTTAGCCCTGACCCGAGTTACCCGTGATGATTCGGGGCTCTGATCTCTCTCTCTCTCTCCCGCTCTCCCTGCCCCATCCTCACCAACCGCCGTCTCCATCCACCCGCCGCTCCTCTGCCGCCGAGGAGGAGGCGTAGGAGGAGGAGGAGGGGGAGGAAGAGGAGGAGGAGGAGGAGGAGGAGGAGGAGGAGGAGGAGGGAGCAGGAGGACGAGGAGGAGGAGGAGGAGGAGGAGGAGGAGGAGGACCACCACCACCACCCCCCTCGGGGCGCCGGCTCCCGCAGCGAGCAGCCGCAGAGCTCCGTCTGGAGGTGGACGCGGTCGTCCTGGCGGGGCCGCGGCTGGCCTCACCCGACCAGCGTTTGGCGGCGCGCACAAGGGGGTGGAGGGAGGGGGGAGGGCTTCTTAGAAGGAGGCTGCTTCTTAGAAGGCGCCGGCCTCACATCTATAGATAAGGCCCGCGCCTTCTAAGAAGCAGGGGTGCTTCTAAGAAGCCCTCCCCCCTCCCCCCACCCCCCTCTGCGCGTGGCTGGAGCGTGGACGAATGGCACTCCGATGTGTTCAGAGTCGCGGCGCAAACGTGGCCACTCCCACTCCCTGCACCGAGGATTTCCCTCCGAAGGCGCTGGGGGCGCCCCACGCCGCGATCGAAGGGGCCCGGTCTGGAAGGAGGGGCAAGGGGGGGCCCCATCAGCACAGATTATCAAAGATGCATGCGCGCTGCTGCCTTCCGGCCCCATGTGGGCCTTCTTCGTGAGACTTACCACGGTACATCGGGGGCCAGCGACACCAGGAGGCGCGATTGCAACGCACTTTTTCAGTCCCTGCATCATGAGCGTCCCTCCGTCCGATCCCCATCACGCTTCTCCTCGTCGGCTCTCTCATGTTGATGTGCATCATGGTTTCTTTCTGTTCGGCGATGACGGGCGTCATGGGGGGGGAGAGGGGGGGTATGACGTAACGCACCCCCCGCCGTGTGCCTCCGGCACCGCAGCAGCGCCCGCGCGCGCGACGCGACGAGCGACGAGCGACGACGACGACGACGACAAAGACGACGACGACGACGACGACGACGACGACGCGAGCAGCATGTAAGTGGCGATATGCCCCAGTGCGCCTGTGTACACCACAACGCTCGCGTGCACCACCGCGCGCGTGTATACCGCAGCGCCTGTGTACACCGCAACAACCGTGTGCAACGCAGCGCTTGTGTACACCACAGTGTTTGCGTATATTACAGCGCAAGTGTACATGTGTGCACCGCAGCTACCATGTGCATCACAGCGCTTTTGTACACCACAGTGCTTGCGTGCACCGCAACGCCTGTGCACGCCATAGCGCGCGTCTACACCACAGCATCCACGTGCAACGCAGCGCTGGTGTAAATCGCAATGCCTGCGCGCATAGGACAGGTAGAAGGAGCATGTACGTGAGGATCTGCCGCGGACAACTAGACGCCACGCCAGGAAAGTGCTGATTATCAAATGCGACGTTCTTCCCTCCTCCCTCCTCCTCCACCTCCACCACCACCTCCTCCTCCTTTTCCTCCTCCTCCTCCTCTTTACTCCCTGTCGTGCGGGTTGGCGCTACAGCGCACGTGTGCATCTCAGCGCGGACCGCATAATGGTCTATTGAAGCGGTCCACTTGGCTCTCGGACGGCCAAGTTAGCTGGAGCCTCCTGGACGCAGATGGGGGGAGTTAGGGTGATGCGGGCGGACTCGGGAGGACTCGTAGATTCCAGCGACACTCCGTCGTCCATAAGCATCAGTTTCTGTTGTTTTCTGTGGAATCCACAAACGCTCCGTTTTGTCATAATGATTCGTTCTAACATGCTGTATTCAAAAGTGGTGCTGTGTTGCACACGGTTACTGTGGTGCACACAAGCGCCGTGGTGCACACAAGCATTGCAATGCACGCAGGTATTGTGGTGTACACTGGTGCTGTGTTGCTCACGGCTGATGTGTTGTACGCAAGCGTTGTGGTGTACACAAGAGCTGTTGTGCCCGCAGGCACGGTGGCACAAACTGACGCTGTGCTGCACGCGGCTGCTGTGGTGTACATAGGCGGTGTGGTGTACACAGGCGCTGTGGTGCACGCAGGCACTGTGGTGTACACAAGCATTGTGGTGCAAATCGCCGCCTACATGCTGGCGCTTGCATGTCCTCCGTCATTCCTAAGCATTTCCAGACGCCGCCGGCGCGAAACGTGACGTCATCGACCCCCTCCACCCCCACCCCTAGATGATTGCCGTGACCGGCCTGGCATGAAAAAAAACAAGCTTCAGCCGCGTCCGCGCGCACGACGACCATGAGCGACGAGCGACAAGCCACGAGCGAGGACCACGACGAAGACGACGGCGACGACGACGACGACTGCGGACCAGACTCCTATGCGGATTCCTACTCGGACACCTACGCGGATCCCAATGCGCACGGCGCAGTGCCCGAAGCGCACTGGGGGGGGAGCGTTACGTCATAGGGGGGGGGAGCGGGGGCCATGACGCCCGTCATGCCCCAAGCAATAAAAAAACGGGCTCATGCTCATCATCCGTTATGCCCCCGTCCTTCAGCACAAGCTGCTCGGCAATGCTGTGCGCGGCGATGCTTGCGCCGTCCTCCGTGCATCGCACGCGAGGCGCCTGGAGATTGGAGTAGCGGTGATGGCAGTAGCCAACCATGAGCTTGCACACGGCCTGGTACCTGGTACCTTCATGGTGTGGAACTGTCATAAGTGATCTTGGCAGTGACGCGCAGCTCGACCTCCTCTCAGCTCTGCCTCACCCTGCTCACACGGCTGCTCCTTCATGCCAAATCCGACCCGTCCTCACGCACGGTGCCATCGGGCTTCTTCGCCTCCAGACCGTAGGCCTTTCCCGCTCATCCTGCCCTCCGATGTACTCGACGGCAACCTCGGCACTGCCTTCGCAGGCAAAAAGTGGCTGTGCTGGCAGGAGGCAGCCATCAAATTCACGGGGTGGCGTGTACTGCTTGACTTTGAAATGGACCTCGCGGCCCTGCATAGTGCTGTCGGAGAGATCCGTCCTTCAGGCAGCCGAGCCCACAAGGAGCTCCCTTTTGAACCAACTTCGTAGGGTGCCTTCCACAGCATTACCATGCCCGTCGTGCCGTGTGGTCCAAAAGAAGCATGCGTGGTGATCCTCACGGCTCCGCTGGTCATTCTCCATGACGCGCCTTACGATCTCCTCCCCGTCGGACTCGTCCTCGGGCAGTCGCAGCCGCCGGACATCTCCTCGGATCCGTCGGAGCCGCCAAGCTCATTCTTGGAGCGGTCGAACCCGTCAGAATTCTCCAAGAAGCAGTCGAAACCGTTGAGCTCCAGATCGTGCTCAGAGCTGTCGAGGCAGACAGGCTTGTTCTCCTGATCCACGCTCCTTCCCTCGTTCCTGAACTTGCGGAGTGGCGCATGCTTCGTGATGCTGACGAGGCCCTGGCCATGCCGCACGCCTGCTCGAGAATATCCTCAAGATCGTCGGGGCCGTCGGGCTCCCCCTCATCCTTTTCCTCCGCGTCGGGATAGTCCGCTCTCGCCTTCTCCTTCTAAACCTCATCTTCATGCTGGTTTGGACCTTCCATGGGCACCGCTTGGCCTCTTCTGACAGACGAAGAACTGGTTTCCGCGTCGGCCGGCCAGAAGAAGAGCACGAATAGCCACGTCCCTGGGAATGCCTATAGAAGGCGAATTGGAACGGAAGTGCGCACAGGTCGGGCGGCTGGTCGGATGACGTATCGGCGTCGCATGTCGGGTCAGACTCTGTGGCTAGCTCCTCAGACTTGCCAGTGGGAGAGAAGACAGAGACGTCCAAGATCCTGATTGCAGCAACTATGACGCTGACGGTCTATAAGACCAAGGCCATGCCGTGTTGACAGTTGCTTGCCATTTTGCCAATGTGAGTCTCTCATCGTTCAGCATTTTGCCTTCTGCCAACGTTCCTGCGCCCAGCTGGCACATTCGCCCGCGAGCTCCGTGTAGCGGTCCCACCCCGAGCTGGGGTCACCATCGTCGCGGTCGCAAAAGCGCTGAGTGAGGTAGGCCACACATGTCGCATCCGAGCTGTGCGGCCTCTGCTGGCTTCACAGCCTCGACCCTGACGCAGCACTGTAAGCGGTCATGTGGATCCCTGTCGATGGTGTCCTTCGTAGCTCTGGCACCAGATCGCGGTTTACCACGCGCCGCGGATGCTGCGGACGCAGCCAGCGCACTCAAGGAAGGTCGGTCGCCCTGGAACGAGACCCGAATAGCTTTCCCCACCCATCCCCTCCCCCCCCTCTGTCCCTGCTTTTCTCCTTTCCTTCATTCCCGCCTCCCTCAATCCCCCTCCCTACTTCTCTCCATCCTCTCTCTCCCTGTCTCCCCTCTCTCTACATCCCTCTCTCTACATCCCTCCTCTCCCCCACCTCATTTCGTGACCAACACACCCCATCCCTCCCTCGCCGTCCCCCGCTTTCCCACTCCCCCCTCTCCCTCGCTCCCCTCCCAGCGCGGAGCTGTGGAAGGGAAATCCCCGCCGATCTTGGACCGTTCCCTCCCTCCCTCATTCCCCTCCCCCCCCTCCCCCCAGAAAAGGTGAGGAGGGAGGGCAGCGGAAGGAAGATGGAGAGTGCGGCTGGTGCTTGGACGTCCTCGACTGCGATTGAGACGAAGAAGGAAGGGCGCGGAGGATGAGGGGAGGAGGGGAAGTGGATAGAGGAGGACGAGGAAAAGCAGGGGAATGAGGAGAAGAAACCAGTGTTCGTCATCATCCTCCCCTGCTCATCATCCGCTACGGTTTCCTCCCCCTCCCCCCTGGCATTTCTTTTCCTATTCCTCCTCATCCTGACCCGTCCAGATCAGATCATCGTACTCCGCATCCCCCTCCAGATCGTCCTGTTCGTGCTCGTCCGCATCCTCCTCCTCATCATCATCCTCCTCCTTTTCCTCCTCTTCCTCCTCCTCCTCCTGCCTCCTCCTCCTCCTCCTCTTCCTCCTTATCCTCCTCTTCCCCATCCTCCTCCTCCATCCCATTTCCGTACAAGTAACTCTTCCCTGTCGCACCCCGAGGCTGGTCGAAAGGGCGGGCCGGGCGTTTCTCCTGGGACTCCCTCACCATTTATGATCATGCAGATGAAACGTTGCAAAGGATTCACTGATGGAGGGCGGCCCGCTGTAAAAATGTGGATATCGCCTTAGCGCCGCGCGCCTTCGTCTTACAAGTCTGCACGAGCTTCACACATGGAGGGCGGCCAATTTTCAAACAGTGGCTCTCGATTGACGCCGTGCACACTCGCCCGTCTTCAAAATGTGCGAGTAGTTCACAGATGGACGGCG